GTGGGTAAGTAGAAGTTATTAACATTTTTATGATTTATGAAAAAAAAAAACAACGAAGGTTTAAGTTTTTTGTGCCAAACAGCCCAATATTCATGTAGATGACCAGTTTAAAGATTTTTTGATCAAATTATCTTACGATTCAAGCAGAAAGCAAATGGGTGTTCATTAGAATTTAGGCCAACACATTTTTTTCTTTATATTAATTTTCCGCAAAATTCATGACAATTATTATTTTATTTTTAATATTGAAACAGACCCATTCAAACTTTAGCTGAAGATATTTAGAGTTTGATCTTAAAGCTGTGCATCGATTAGATGGTTCAGCTTTGACCTTGATGCAAGGTCACGGCAAAGTCAGATGCGTTCGTTTAAGTTACTTTTTCAACATACGGAAATTTATAGTATTATGGATTTTTATATTAATTATTTTATTATTTTTTATTAGTTGGCCGTTGTGAATAATTCGCATGATGTATTGGTCAGTCACTGATAGGCAACATGCTGTGGGAATAGCCGAATCGACGTCAAAGTATAATATAGCAAAAGTTGAATGGATAAAATAATTTTATATAGGTACAGTCAATTTTAAAATATACGTGATTTATACAATAATGATTCTAATTATTTTGCCTCTCCTGTAAAATTTTATGATTTGCAGTTGCATCATTGCTCCACCGGTTACAAGATATTACTAGTATAAGTTAAAGTTTTATTAAATTTGGCCGAAACAGGACTATTGCTGTTTTACGGATAAATAGTTTGTTTCTAGGACGTGAAGTTGAAATTTCTTCTGAAATAATTTTTGAGATAAAATTAGAGGGGAGAAAATGAAATCGATATGAGGTTTAATTTTATTTAGTAACAGTTAAGTTACGTTAATATGTCCCAGAAATTCGGAAAAATATTTTATCACGTATAATTGTTAAAAAGATCTGTTTAACCAAATCGACGTCAAAGTATAGTACCAATTTTTAAAATTATGTGATTTAAATAATAATAATTCTAATTATTTTGCTTCTTCTATAAAATCTTACGATTTACATTTACTTCATGGTTCCATTGTATAAGTTAATGTCTTGGAAAAATTTGGTGTTTATGTTTACAAAAATATTGGGCCGTTTGTCCAATATGACCTCGTTATTTTGAAAATTTGGGGGTGTAGGTCAAGCCAAACAGCTCAATATTTTTTAAGGTCACATTTTTTCTCGATTTTGTGATCAAATTATCTTTCGATCCAAGTAGAAAGCAAATGCGTATTTACGAGTTTTTAGTACCTAATTAAATAGATAAAGTTTGCTCCCCTCCAGTTTGAAAACGCCTCAATTTCAAGAGTTTTCGTAAATAAAATAGTTGTAGGTTACGATGAGATGAAACTATATACAAAGTTTCAGGCGGATGTTAATAATTAGATAAAAAGGGGTCGAAATGAAATCGATATGAGGTTTAATTTTATGTAGTAATAGAGTTAATATGTCGCCTAAATTTGGAAAAATATTTATCATACATAATTTTCAAAAAGGCCTGTATAACTAATTCTACGTCAAAGTATAATACCAATTTTTAAAATTATGTGGTTTATATAATAATAATTCTAATTATTTTGCCTCTTTTATAAAATTTTATGATTTGCATTTGTTGATGATGATTTGCATAATGGTTCCATTGTATAAGTTAAGAGCTTGGAAAAATTTGATTGAAACATAGCTATTGTTGTTTTATGGATAAATAGTTTGTTTCTAGGAAGGAAAAGGAATTTAGAAAAAATATGTGCTATTGGATACAAATAAGTACCGAATTAATGCGGATTATGTTTTTTCTAATATCACTACTGTTAACTGAATCCTAGATCGTAACAGGCTATACAATATAGGCTATTATAGAATAATAAATAATAAAATGAAAAATATAATATTAAAATAATAATATTGCTGCTAGTCCAAAAGATCGTATGTAAAAATTGTCCATTTTTATTTTTTTTTATCCTAAAGATGATACCTAGTGGTCTACAAAAGCTACAAGTAGTATGCTACTATGGTAAATAGCAAAAGGAAATAAAATATCAAATTATACTCATAAATCATAAATGAATAGTCATTAATGCTCTCCTGTAAAACTCTTAACTTCTACACACCACCTTTTGCACTAGCAGGGATATTATTATTTTAATATATTTTTAATTTATTATTTATTGTACTATAATAACCTGAACTGTTACGAGGGGTCTTGGGTTCAGTTCCTAATAAGGAAGTACTTGATGAACGGTTACACAAGGTTGTGTGGTCTACCGACATGTCTTTCTCCCCCGACCGACTGAAGGTTCAGGTTCCCAGTTTATGGTGTAATCCAGGAGTCTTGCCGACCCGAGACCTAACTTCTGCAAATAAATTTTCCACTCCATTTCCTCTAGCTCTTGCTGCTCTACACAAGTATACAAGTAAACAAATAAACATATAACAGAATCTACTATGATAAATTAAACAAGAGTAGTTTTTGCAATCGATTTCAATTAATAATAATAATAATAATAATTAACATCCGTTTCTTATTGGAAAGATATTTCATAAACGCATTCATGATGCTTGACTACAATTTCAGTTATCCTTGTTGTGTAGAAAAAAAAATACAGAGACTCCTGAACTTTCGACTTCAAATATTTATAGTAATTTTACGTATTAGAAGGTACTGTTTATTTATGATTTGTTATAAAGTGCGGATCAGGGCGATAGCTATAATATTGTGCACTGGCGTATTAAATAAACGTCTTTTGTGTTTCAGGTATTGAGGAAGAAACATTAATTTTCTTATCTATCTTCAATATATGTTTTTTTTTAGACTTTTCAGGAATTCAAATAAATAATTACAGTTAAGAGGATGCAATAATTTTAGCACCAAATATGGTTTTATTATTGTTATGCTGATTCCAGCAAATAATTACAAGTAAATTAAAGTTTATAAATTACAATTGTGAAACAATATTATAACCAATTTTCTATTATCATATTAAAATCCAATCGAATTTTAAATTGACGTTATATTTGAAAATCACGTTAATTACGATAAATACACTAAATACAATTTCGTTGAAAATTTGTCCTGTTTTTAATTTTAGAAATAGAGTATTGATAAGACGAGAATTTCGTTTCGCCATTCTAATGTTTAGTGTTGTCCAAAATCGGTCTTGGTCTTGTGCTCTGCACCTAGACACACTAGAGGTATATCTATAAAGTAATAATAAGCTAATACTTGGCTGCAAGACCAAGATCAAGACCAAAACTGAGTGCGCAAGACCAAGACTCCTGTTGGTCTCGCATTTGGGCAACCCTACTAATATTACATTTACAAAACTACATATTATATACGGCAATGAATTTATACTGGCCAGAGGATTAGAGAAGATTTAATTATTTATATATAACAACGTGCTTGCCCACCACATCCTCATATATAAAAAATATGCAGTGAAGAAAAGGATAGTGATCTTGGAAAAATTCTAATCCGAATTTTTAACCGACACATTTCAAACCCCCTAGGCAGAGGTGCATATCCATTCTATTTGTGCATTTCATATCTATTGTTAAATTAACGTAATAGAAATAAATACATATCGCTACTGTTAGTGCAAAAGGTCGTATGTAAAAATTGAGTTGTTTTTTTATACAGAACATTATATCTTCATAATTTAACAACCGATTATTTCAAAATTATACAAAAACTTATTATTTCTTGATGCTTTATTAGTATAATTTCATATATTACTGTCATCTCCTATTTTCCAAGGTAGCAGACTACTTATATCCCCTCCTTGATGTAATGTTTAATTTTATGTACAATATTGTTATTCTCAAGGGACGTAGTCCCAGAATAAAGTTGATTCTTCTATCTATCTATCTATCTATATCAGTTGCAGACTACAAAATGTCAACTTTAGCACAAATGTAATAAAAGTTGAAAGTTTTGACATACGACCTTCTGCCCTAATAGTAGTGATATATATTTAATAGGTATGTTTTCACTCGTAAAATGGATGGAGCTAGAAAATCCATAGGAAAAATTCAACTTGTTGTTTGTTCGGAATTAACGAGACCAATGCTTTTCTTCAGTCAGAACAAAACGCATTAAGATAGGAAATATAAAAATATGGGCTATGTCCGCACAACTTCGATATTTAAGGAGGAAATCGAGACCAAGACGAACTGATTGAACTTAAATGGAAATAAACACAATCACAAATTATACTTTTTTTTTTTTACAAACTCAACATTAATACTAAAAGTAAAAATTACTTTGAATGTACTAAAAATTATACGAAATCTAAGTAAGGGCAGTAAGTGTCATGCAAGTAACGTTTGGAATCGATCAAACAATACAGAATCAATTAATTTTTTTTAATAAAACCTAAAATTTTATATCCCCATAACAATATTTTAAAACTATAGAACGTTTTGTCCCTGAAGAATAATTTTATTAAACATTAAATACAAAAATTAATTAGTAATGAATAATACTTAACAATATTTATAATTTGTGAATTATCTGTAGAAAAATCTTACATCATAATCATAATCATTATTACAATTTCCTTGTTCTTTTCTTTCTCTTCTTCAGTATTTTTATTTTTAGTCGACTCTTGTTATAAATATATAATCTAATTGTAACCACACAGACATACAATCTATATTTATAATTTGTTCTAAAGGGACAACAGTCCCAGAATAATAAAATATTTTTTGATTAGTTTCATTCATTCAAAAAAATCTGTTTTTAAAATTTGTTGTATAATTGGGAAATATAAATGATTAAACTATACAGCTTTTAATTACAAAATAAATTCATCTAAACTCAATAACCTCACAGTCTTGTGATCTCACACCATATGGTTAAAGAACACATATTAAATAAAACAATTGATCTTATGATCTACCACCATTTGAAATTAAAAGTGAGCAATTCACTTTTACATAAATATATCATTTTTTCTCTATTCTTAGAATTTTATAATTTAACCATATTTATATACATAAATATTTAGTCATTGTGAATAGATTATGTACATATAAGTATCGAAACAATGATAATCGAAGTAATATAAATTAATAGTAGATAAATATCAGGACATGATTCATTTTATACATTATATTTATATAATATATCATCATATGAACATAGTATTATTGGAGTGAATAAACAATTGTAGAATTCAGGGGGTACAAAACCATTCGGGATTATGAACAGTTGATGTTGCGATACATAGACCAGTGTTGTGTGGAGTGCCTTCCAGGCATTTCTTTCCGTCCTACAAGATGATGTCCATCAAATTCGAATTCGACGATAACGGTGTCGCCATCATCGTATTCGATTCATACAGATTCTACCGCACATCCTATAACAAGGCTCGGAAGGCTTACATTTGGAATTGCGTCAACAAAAAGTGTAAGGCCAAGATATACGTTACAAAGGACACATACTTGGTAGTGAAAGAAGTCGGTTCACACAACCATCAGGAAACTTCACTTTCACAGGTATCTTCCTTCGGTATTTGGAAATTAGTTGAATAAAAAACAACTAAGATGCTAGAAGTATTTAGATTTTGTTTTGGTATGTAAACATCTATAACATTGAAAGATGGCAAAATTTTAGTTTTTAATTATTAATTTGTTTATTATTGTGATACAAAAGGGAAAACAAGTATTATATATACAGGTTATCCCGTAAAGGGAAACATAGAAAAAGGTTATAGTGGACCTCCAAAGCAAAAAAAAAAGTTCATATAAGCCATGGTCCTATTTTCCCCAAAAAGCAGGAAATATAAATGTATTTATTAAAGTTTTAAATGTTTTTATTAAAATTCACAACTGATAAATACAACAAGTAAATCTGAAATTTTATTAAAGTAAATCACATTTTTATTAAATAGGATGGAATAATTATAAAAAATAAATAAATAATTGAGATGATTAAAAATCATTTCATACTAAACTACATAAAATTTATTTCAAAGGCAAGAGTTTGTCCTGGTTTAAACAATTTGAAGGGGATATTTATGCGCCTAAAAAAAAATATTTTTCAAGAATATTTTTGTTATAAAAGACACAGTGTATTTACGTAATTAATTCATCACAGTAAACAGCTAGTTGTAGACAAATAAATTAAAGCTCTGTAATAATAAAGTTTAATTATTTTTACTGAGTGCATAAAACATACAGGGCTAAACTGTATTTTAATTATGTAACATTTAATGTTTTTGTTAAATAGGAAGGAATAACTTAAAACAAATTTATCTGATGTAATTGAAAATCGCTTCTTAGTAAACTATATAAAATTTATTTCAAAGTTAAAACAATTTGAAGGGGATATTTATTATTACATTTATACATACTTTTGTTTAAAAAAAAGAAAGTGTATTTTCGTAATTAATTTATTACAGTAAACCGCAGGTCGTAGAAAAAGAAATTAAAATTTTGTAATAATAAATTGTAATTATTTTTACTGAGTACAAAGGAAACCTGAAACAGACTTGAGCATAGTGTATTTTAAAATACCAAGTATTTTATGTTTTTAATATACTGTCTATTTTAATTACAAAGTACTTAATTTTTTTCTAAAAAATTTATTTTAAATACAAAATATTAAAAGTATTTTAACTATAAAAACACAAAATACTTTCTGGTGGACGATCAGCATATAATACAGGGACGTACTCTATTAGGTTATTCATTTTGTGTATTTAAAATACAATATGATGGTGATAATGATGTATTTAAAATACAAAATCAAACAATTTTTTTGTGTTTATTATCTTGGAAATCAAGTACAAACACTGTTTTGTGTTTTAAAAATAACATACAGTTACAAACGAATGTATTCTATCTTGTACTTTACAATACTTTATTTGAAATATTGCCCAAGTCTGCTCTGGATTGAAAGAAATCATTCCATCAATTACTTCAATCAAAATACATATATTTTTTTACACAACTACAGACAAATAAAAAAGCCTCTATAAAAACTGAAAAAAACTATAAAAACCTAATCTTAATTAATATAAAGTGTAAGCTTATCAAAAAATTAGTTTTTCTAAAAGTGGTTTTAACTGTCCAGTTAGAGGGCCATGAAAAACAAATCGCGAATAATTCACCATCTCATGAAAAACTGCGAATTTTGGCCGCTTAAAAGTTCAACTTAAATGTCTTAAACTTAGGCAAACTCTACTTCCATTTGAAGTAAATTTTACCTAGTTTATTTTAAAGCAATTGTTAATTACCTTAACCAAATATTTTTTTAAATTATTGGTTCTTGTTCAAGAGAAAAAGTGACACATTAATGTCTGCTATCACCTGGTTTTTAAGTATTTCCCTTTACTTATATCGAGGACGCACTATATATATACGTTTTATATATAGACACTCTATATAAATAAGAAAATATGTGGCTGCAGTATGTGTAAAGAAAAGAGTGATTGTGATATATATCTATCGAAATAGCTCTTTTCTTTTGTACAGTCGATTTTGTAGTATCCTGCAATTCTACCGCTCTTAACATATGTAATACATCTATATGACTAGTAGGCAAATGATAGTATTATTATGAGGGATTCCAATATAGAATAAAATGATAAGATTGATTTATTTTGTGAGAAGTTTTCATTAATTTGGCCATATGCCCACAGAACAATTAAAACTACTAAAAATTGCCACTTTTTTCCCGCGAAAATCTCCACTTATCTCCAGGAATAAGTGGACTTTATTAAAAACATAACGGGGTAAACGTTGTAATTTATTAAATTTCTTTCAAAATATTGGTGCAATCAGAGTTTTTTATATAATAGCACCCAGTTCGTATTTTTGAGCAAATCGAAGTTATGAAGTACTCAAATTTTTAAATGTATGACAACGGATATTTTCATGAGATAAATTTTTATAGATATTTCATTTATAAACAAACAACAACTTTTTTCTCTACAGAATGAGAAAAATAAGTTAATTAATAAAAGCTCTAATTACCCAGTCGCTAAAAAAGGCGTGTTACCTCACCAAAGATCATATGTAATTGATTGAATGCTTAATGAAGCTATGTTCTAGATTCAAAATTCAAGCTTTCAACATTCTTACATCATTCCACGTGTGTCTGCAAGACCAGACTTGCATGAATTTTTTATGCATACATCGTTTCATAACTTTTCAGTACTTCATAACGATTTTTTTTTTCGTCAGTAAAACGTATGCTAGAAGATTTTTCTATTTCAACTTAATCTTGACGTTGATATAATTAAATACTTTTGTAACGAATTTCCTCTTGGCGCATTGGCAAGATCTTTGTTAATTGAGGTTATTTATTTAAGTCAAAGAGTATGTAGAATTCATATCAGGTTTTTTGTAATATTTTTTTTTTATCCAATAATTATAATTGTAAATATTCGTCCTATTTTGCGTTATCCTATAGCGTGGCAACCTAAAAAAGGATAATCCTTGGGAGTTTTGTAAATATTAATCCTGAAAAATAAATCCTATAAATATGGATCAGTAAAAGAAAAGAGGTCTTGGCCAATATTTGGGAAACTTATTTTGGCTTCATGTACATAGACAAAAAATGAAGTATTTCTCTATATATTGATTGATGAAGAAGCACCTCGTTATATCAGAAACAGATAATGGTATATTGATGTGATGTACCCATCACACGGATTGGACTACGAAAATTAAATTTGTTCCTTGGTGTCTATAACTTGAAACGCGATTGTAAAATTTGACACATTTTTTTTTAAAGCAATTCATTTAATGGTTATTACTTCATACTTTAACTAACATTGCCCTTTATTCCAAAAACTGGTTCATCCAATCCCTTTCGATTAATTCTAAAGGTTGGTATATTAATGATCCTATTTAGAACACAATGATATGTACAGTTTGGTTAAAGTCAACATTTTTAAATGAGTAGCTTATTTCCAGAAGCCTAATCGATTTTTATGGAAATTGACGATATGTATCGATTCTCATGTAAAAATACGGATCCGAAGTAGCAATTTTTTTTTTTCAAAAACGAATCTAAATATTAAAATAAGCGATGTGAAAATAAATTTATTTCCAAAATCGGTGTTTTTTTTTTTTAAGGAATTGAATTAAACTAGTACTTCTCAGTCATTCGTAAAAAAAATAATTCATCAAAAGCTTTTTTAACAGTTTTATTCAAATGAAAATTGATAATAAATTTATTTTACTGTACTATTATTGTAAACGAAATCCCCTCCCCTCCTCCCAAATTATACACCATTTTTTTTATGAAAAAGAAACCGAAGTCAACATTCTTATTGTTAAAAAGCAGGCCTTGAAGTTTATATATGCCTGGGAAGTTACAGCAACTTTTTCGCAAAACAGGCTAACTGGAAGTGGCACTTTATATTATTTAAAACATTTTTACGATTTTCTCGAAAACGGCTCTAACGATTTTGATTCATTATATCAGTGTAAAATTAAACAGTTTTTAATACAATAGAATAAAATAGAACAGAAAATTGAACTTTATTTTGGAACTAAGTCCCCTTAGAATAACAATGATGAATTTATACAACGGAAAATACAAATCTGGCCAAAAATTAACTTATAAAAATTCTAACATTATATGCATTATTTAAAAGATAGTATGTAACCACTAAAAAGTAAAAAAAAAAAAAATAAATAAAAAAAATAAATGAGCGTAAGATCTCAAAATTACTTATTATTGTGATGAAAAACAAAACAAAAATAAATTACATATTTATATATGCATAACTACACAAATTATAAACAATAGGCTAACTAATAAAAAAATAACTCAACACAAAATGTAATAATATCTTTTCTTTTTTTCCTGGGAAGTTGTCAATTTAATTTAGTTGTTTGGCAATAATAACTTCCAGTTGTTAACAATTGATTATATTTTACTATCAACGTGATTTATATAATAATATGCAAACATAAAGAGAAATAAAAATAAAATCTCAAAATTACTTGTAGTGTAATGAAAAAAAAAAAAAAGAAATATATATACATACATACTCATATTAATACACAGAGAGACAAACGGTATAACCTGGATAAATTAAAATAAATATAACGTAGGTTTTAGTCTCATTGATGTTCTCTAACAGAGCTTAAATGGCTAATTGTCCTAAAGTACTTTTAATTTTTTTTATATAATATAAAACAATGTTAAATACGAAATAATTTGATAATTAATTAAAAAAGAAATGAGGCATCGTAGCGGAGAACAGTTGTAATTAAGGGACCAAAATGCCCGAGCTCACCCGAAATATTAGAACAGGCTTTCGTACGTAACATGAGCTTAATATAATACGAACTCCGAAGATATTATATACATAATTGCTTACGTTGGTATTAATTAATATATAATTGTATTTATTACAGCTTTATAAATATTAAAATTTGTACATATATACCGGCGCTCAAACAAATAAAAATACCCACAATGAAGTATAAATAATTATAGCAGACTTAATGAAGTGTCACTCTTATATTTTTATAAA